AGTCTTAATGAAGGTCCCAGGTCCAAGGATCCCGGGCATCCTAGGACTCGGTAGAGTAAAGGGCAGTGACCCGGAGCTCTCGTTGCATCTACAGATGCTCATAATGTGCAGAGGCTCAGAGCGTGCATCCACTTCAGGCGCCCAGCCAGATTCCACAGATAATGATTTGAATCAAGGCACAAAAGGGACAACCAGAGATGGTGACCCCTGCTCTCACCCAATTTCTCCTGGCACAGTAGTCATAGAAGGCAAATCCAGTGATGCTTCTAGCCCAAACAGGGAATACAGCCACAGCAGACACAATGGCAGATACTATTTGTTGAAGGATGCAGGGAGCTGTGTTGTGACAGCCAATGAAGAGTAAGGAACAAAGGAAAGACAGTGGGAGAGTCAGTTGTGGACAACAGTAGTATCTCATGAGGTGCTTCCCAAAGATGCCCCGTGCCACGGCCCGAGGGCAGAGAGGCACAGAGTTGTGTAGGCCAGAGGCATCTCTGGGGGAAGGAAGTGATCCCAGGGTGTGCTCGATTACCGAGAATCTGGACCAGGGTTCCTCAAACTGCCGAGGACATGTATCTGGCCTGCCGGGTGTTTTTGCCCCATTTGTTTTTTTACTTCAAAATAGGTATGTGCAGTGTGTATAGGAATTTGTTCATAGTTTTTTTTTTAAACTATAGTCTGGCCCTCCAACAGGTTGAAGGGACAGTGAACTGGCCCCCTGTTTAAAAAGTTTGAGGGCCCCTGATCTGGACACTCCCACAGTGGTCTGCGTCTGGAGAGGAGAGCGGAGCTGCGATATCTCCAGCTCAGGAACGCTTACGGATCCCAAGACAGCAACAGTCACCTGTGGACAGGTGGGACACCGTGGCCATGAGGATTGATGCCAGGCACGATGCTAGCACTGCAATTAATCATTTTATGTTGTCGCCGCCTAAAGGTTTGGGGTTTTTTTTTCCCTGGCAAAATTATTTCTTTTAAACGTAGGTTTCCTTTGTAGGGGGGCAAGTTTGTCTTCTTCACATGAAAATGATGATGGATTCTTAGGAGCAGTTCTATTCGGTCTTAGTGGGTTGCTGCAA